GTGTATTAATTATATCATTTTAAAATTAATTTTTTTTTTTAAAAAAAAAATTTTTTTTTATTATTTTAAATTTATTTTTAAAATTTTTAAGATAAATAATTTTTTCCTTTAATTTTATTGTTATTTATTTATTTTAAGAGATTTTTCTAGCTTGGTGTATTAATTATATCATTTTAAAATTAATTTTTCTAAAAAAAATAAATAAACTTTAAATTTATCAATTATTTAATTAAAATCTTTCACATAACAATATATACCATCAAAAAAAAAATCTTTTACCTGACACTAATGTTAAAAATAATATTTGTTTAAATATACAAATTGTTTCAAAATCTTTAATTTAAATAAGAAAATTAAAAAAAAATATTTATCGTGTACTCCTCACTAGGTACGGGCCCATGGCCAATGGCACCGTGCCAGGGCAGTGGTTTCCACACGTGGAGAGACATCAAATGTGTGATGGGATGGTGATGACTTGTTGTAACACATGTATAATAATCATGGTGGGATCACAGTAAATGTCTTTGCGATTCACCGCAAAGTTTTGAAAACCGAATTGGATCAGTGGATTGAATTGGTTGGACTGATATCAGATAGAAAAAACAGATCGGGTGAATATTTTAAACCATTTAAGCTATTAAACCATTTAAAACCACTCAAATCATTTAAACCGATGAGAACCAATAACCCATCAAACCGGCCGGGTCAACTCTTGAGACAAAATTCTCTCACATTTGTCTCCACTGGATTTCGAACACCAGGTCTCATGAAAGATTAGTAAACCATTCGCCACTTGGCCGCCCCATCTCTTGTGAGGTAAGTTGCACAGAACATCTTTTAAAGAATGTCTAAAGATTTTAAAGGGAAAATGAGTTCGATGAGGTTTGAACACTAGTCCTCCGTGATGACAACTAGATTCGTGCCGCTTGATCTGATTCAAGTTTACCATCAAGTTGTGCGTTAACATATATTTATGGTAGAAAGACATAAAATTGGACAACTTTCTCATTTATAAAATTCGAACTGTGATTCTCCTCAATAAAATTAAAAGTTTTGACCACAAGCGCCACAAGTAATTCTTTGATATGAGGCATTGTATTTAATTTAATATGTATTTTCAAATTTTAATCAATTCGGTTTTTTAATCGATTAAATCGATTGAACCATTAAAATCATGAACCTAAAGTCAAAACGATTTAACTTCCGGTTCGATTTTGAAAACATTGGATTCACCCACGTTTGAGCGGGTGTGCAGAGTTAGACCGTGGCATACTGTTCCCGATCATAAGCGGCTATCTCGGTGCATGTTCGGTTACCTAGAAAATGAGAGAAATATTCAGTAAAAACTTATTTTTAATTTTTTTAATAAATTTATAAATTTTAATCAATTTACCTTATATTATGATATTT